GTTCTCCTCTGCTCGTGGTTTTTTCCCAAATTGGGTTTCCATGTAAATTCTTGTGTTCATGTTTTCTTCTTATTTATTTCATTATCGTCATCATCTTGCGATCCGTTTCATAACAAGTGATATCAGAGAGCAAGTTTTTCAATATTTTGCATGGCGACAATGAAGTATGACATTCCGTTATTGGATAGAAACACGAGATTCACATTATGACAAGTGAATATGCAACAGTGTTTTTGCAAATGAATTTGGAGAAAGCCTTGCTTGGCTTTGATAGGATGCTGCTACCTGGACGTAGGATGAAAAGCGGCGTAGGGATCAGAAAGTCCAATCTAAAATTCATCCACATCTCTCGAATCAAATTCTTCAGTATGTTCTTAAGGAGAATAGTGCCGCTGCGTTGTGGTTAAAGTTGGAGCAACTTTGCATGATAAAGAGCTTGACCAACAAGCTACACTTGAAACAGCGCTTGTATTCTCACCGGATGTCTGAAGGTACGTCATTGAATGATCACGTAACTATGTTCAAAGAAATTGTGGCTAATCTGGAGACACTGGAGGTTAAGTATGACGATGAGGACTTGGCTTTGATGTTGTTATGCTCGCTGCCACCATCAAATGTAACTTTTAGGGATACTATTCTCTATAGTCTAGATACTCTCACCGTGGAAGAGGTCTATGATGCTTTACTATCTAAGGAGAAGATGAGGCATCTTATTGGATGATCTAGAAATCATGCTGAAGGCTTGGTTATGCGTGGAAAGAATTAAGATAGGAATTTTAGCAGAAACATGAGGAGTAGATTGAAATCTAGGAATGCCGAGAAGACATGTCACTACTGTAAGACGAAGTAGTATATTAGAGCTGATTGCTACGCCTTGAAAAATAGAAATAAAGTTGCTGGTGCTACAGAGAAAAGAAAGTAACATGTTAATATAGCGGAGGCTGATATTGTGGAAGATGAGCAAAGTGGTAGAGAGCTTCTTGTGATTTCTGACGGGGATTGTAAACCTT